AATTATTTTCAGAGTGAAGAGCGAATAAAATCATGGGCCTATTGTTTTCGGATCAACTCAGGAATCAACACTAATATGGCAATAGAGAGTTTACACAAATTTATAAAATATTATGAACTTAATAAAAGAAGATGTAACACCATTGAAAATTTATTGGATATTTTGGACAAAGTGGTTGAAGATAAGACATGGACTAGAGTAGTGGAGTTGCATAGACCTAGTTCTAATAGTTATCAGCAAAGAATGGTCAGGGAAAGTCACAGAAAAGCAGAGAGTATTGAAAATAATGTGGAAGAAGTGGGATTTGGTGAATTTTTGGTGAAATCTCTAAATTCTAATTTAAATTACAGAGTTGCCTATGGTGATCGTTTGTGTAAAAGTGACTGTAAACACATGTATTGTACAATATGTGAAATTTGTTTTCATCAGTACACATGTCAGTGTCCACAATTTTCAGTTAAACACATTACTTGCAAACATGTGCACATGGTTGCTTTGTATGAAAGGAAGAAGAACGAATGCATGTTAGGGAGACATAATACGCCTGTTGTAGTAGCAGAAGATCGTAACTACTGTCAAAGTGCCAAGAATGAAGAAATTAACTCTTTTATTGAAGAACAACAAGAAAAATCTACTAGTGATGGTACAATGGATGATGAAACTTTAAAAAAAATTCCCAAGAAACAATTTTCTATCAAATTAGAGGTTTAGGTATGGAGGACTATAAAGATTTTGTGACACAATTTCAAGAGTGGATGAAGAAAATAGATATGAAAAATACATCAAGGAAAAGAAAAATTGACAATAAACAGACATACTATCCTGTGAAAAAAAGTAAAAATTCTACTGCTGAGTGAAGTATTAAGCCTATTTTGCTAAACGTTATAACAAGTGTTTAAGTTTTAAAATTGTAGATGATTTGTGGAATTGGAAGACCAATGTAGCCTTTACTTGATTCATGTGAATCATTTTATAGTTATTATATATATACTTATTAGATTATAAATTACACCCCCTAACTTTACCCATCTGAGTGTTGCATTTTACATCACATAGTTTTTAGGTTTTTATAAAATAATAATAAAATATAATAAACATATTTTTTATTATATTGCTGCTGTTTTTATTGAAGGGATGTAGTTATCTTTTCATAATAACTATTCTTATTGTATCGAAAAATTGAACAAATACAAAATATAAAATTAAAAAAGTGCTAGCCTGAGCTTAAGTCTATCTCCTTTTAATATGAACACGTTTTTCTCAAAAAAAATTAATCAAATTACTATTCTTTGTCATGAAAAACTTAACATTTACATTAAAATATACCTAACATTTCTAAACGAGTGAGGTGTTAGTGTTTATAAACACCTTTTACTTTGAACTTCCCGCGTAGATAATTTGTCTCCTTTTGTTAGGGACATGCATAGTTAGTAACATCACCAAATGCCTGTGCATTATGTTGGCAACCATAGATGGTAGATTCGGGTGAGAATTACCGTATCCTAAGAAATACATGGGGAGCTTACGGAACGACATAGAGGTCATTAGCGTCTCTAAAGGTGTTCCGACCTTGAAGAACATTGTTTCTTTTTCATTTTAAGGTTTTCGGTGATCGTTTTGTCTGGTTTTGTCAACAAGAAATGTCATATTAATTACGGGATCATATGGGATGTTGGGTTATGAGGTTAAAAACAAACATAAAATTTATTTTAACAAAGTAATAGATACTTACGACAGTCTTACGATACACGTAAAAACACTATAAAATTACAGGCTAAAGAGGTCAACAAACTGCAGGTTAAATTTTAGTGTGTAAAAAATTCTAACTCTAATAAAAAGTGAAACGAGATAATCAAAAGGAAAGTCTTTGCAGGGGTGGTGGAATGTTATTTTTTATGGTTAATTTTTTAACCGCAAACCAGTTAACGATTACAGTGGATAAATTGGGAAAAACTCACAAAATGTATTACCCATTACCGGAGTATAAAATGCAAAATGTTCAGGTGGCATCATTAAATCGCCAAAAATCACATCTTCATTGAAGACTTAAAAATGGCACACAATTAAAACAAGATGTGCCACTTCGCAAGAATGTGCAAAGTTCACACAAACTTCGCAGAAGTGGTGGTGTAAGAATTTTCGTATTAATGAGTATTCACAAACATACCGTAAACAGTTGTGTTCTTTCAAAGTGAATTTCCGGTAACTCACAACACTTAATGATTGTTGAATAGGCCAGAATACAGGGAAGATGTGTTGTGGAAGTTTGTTTAAAAGAACACCTTGGCAAATTTTTCATTTCAAATAAAATAGTGTTTCACAGTTGGTTCTTGCACTTGTATCGAAATAATCTGTAGTAAATAGTTTCCGAAACACTCTTTGGAATTGTATTGGTGTGGGATTTATACAATTCCCAAATTGACGCCTCACAGAGCCAAACAATACGGATTTAGTTGCAGCAACCTTTTAGTCAAAATTGTAAACAAATTGTATTCTGTGAAAACTATTAAAAATAACAAAATGTTTATGTTCCTGAAGTTGTTTTTTATTTTTTTGTGAGTAATTTAAAAATATTAAGAGTGAATTAAAAATTTTGCAATTCACTTGTGAATAACCACTTATTTGTCAGACTTGTTAAGGATTTAATAAACGCAGTTTAAAACGTCAAAATTGAATCAAAATGTTTTGCTTGAATATATTAATAATTTACAAAAAAGAAAAAAATCGCCAATGTCACTAGTACATACCAGCCATTTTTATTTTTGTGTACAATTATTAGTATTATACGAATGCTACGAAATATTTGAATCTTCGTGTTTCCCGGGAATGGGCTCCCAAGGTCACACCCATTCCGCAAATATTGCTGAACTTTCGTTACTGATATACTGTGTCACGGCTTTCAGTTTGAGTATTGGTATCTATTTATTATATGATCTAAGGTATTCTCACATTTTCGAGAAAATGAGGTGACTCGTTCTTAATTTTATCAATAAAAAATTCTTCACCTTCGATCTGCGAGGTGATTAATTTACAAAATATCTGGTTGACCGAGTTTCACTCGGCTCGTTTGGTAGTATTAGATCAAATTAGGACAGATAAATATGCGTATAGTATGCATTTTGAAGTACACGCGCTACTTAAAAATACACATTAAAAAAGAAATTCCATAAGCAGTCTTTGTTTTAAACACTGATAAGTGACATGTAGAGATTAAAGAACAGAAAACTGGAATTATTATTTGACATCTCATTTGTTACCCAAGTTTTCTCTCTGTCGTTTTTTTTCCTAGTTCTCTCTCTCGACTCTAGAAAAAGGTCACAACCACATTCTTACTGCCAGAAGAGTTTCGCCTCTGGTGTGGTTAACATACTGAGTTACCGTGCTCTTTTGTGTTATTCCTAATTTCTCAATCTCAACCCTGCTCCCGAAGATGCCATTTACGAAAGTGTGCGAAACGTTGAGCCCAAAAACTCAAATAACACGGTCCCATCCCCGAAAACGATCACATGTTGACACTGACCGTGGAACCTCTGAAATGAATGCTTGACAAAATAATCTCAATTCAACACACTTTCGTGTGCCTTTTATCCGCTCACTGTTTAGTTTTTGGTAAATTTTCTCACCTCAGGAGGTGAATTTCAACGTCCTCTATACAGTGGAGTATGTTTCGGTACGTACAATTGAAGATAAAAAGGTACGTCAAACGTACTGTCAGACTGTCACCCAAACTTCTCATATAAAACAATCTCGTGTTCGTGTAGTGCCATCTGATGTTGCCTAGCAACAGATATAATTCACTGCCTGAAAATTGCTGAAAATGCATGAAGCTGTAATTTTCAGAAGTTAAAACTATGATCAATCGATTTCTTGACCCAAAAAACCCCTAACCTGTAAATTTCATCGAAATCGTTAGAGCCGTTTTCGAGAAACCCATTACATATATATATATATAAATATATATATACAAACTTTGCTCGTTTAATAGTATTAGATTAGCCACGCTAGCTGTAACACGGTTGCGTACTATTTCGCTAAAGAAGAAGGCGGATTAAACCATAAATAAATATAAAAATAATAAACAAAATCAAGAGAGATTCGTAAAACACAAGTACAGGAGTAGAATATCTCATATAATTTTGGTAATGTTAATGATGCCACCTAATCAGCCGGCGTGATCACATCGTTTTTAAGTTAAATTGCAAAATGTTGATTTTTTTTCCAAAAATATGGATGTCTAGGGTGACAACTCAACACGGATCATACACCACCAGTACAGGGGTACCTTGTTTTATAACATTAAAAAAATTTAATATCGTAAATTTTAGAAATAAAGTGATCTCATTATTGGTGGGGATGACCAAATTTTGCTAACCATGTTCCCATCTACATTATAGGTATTCCTAATTTACATATAAAATTTGACAACAATCGATCCAATAGTTTCGGAGATTATCTGTGTAATAAAAACTGATACAGGCGCCAGAAAGAGAGACAGTTCCTTTTAGTAATAAGTTTCATAATGAGTTATCTCAAATGCAGCAATTAAAAAAAAAATTTTGCTGTAAAGGTGTTAGTAGTAACGAGTTCTCGAAAACCAAAATTATGTATGAATTTTGTATTTATTAAATGTCAGATATTATGTTAATTGCGCTGACTTTTATTATTATTAGTAATAGTCCTTCGACAGGCTGAGGCCTGTAATGAATGTGCCATGTATCACAACACTTAACAAATATTTAGAAATAATAGTTTATTTTTATTATTTATTCTGTTCGGTAGCCAGAATTTTCGGAGGCACAGACTAGTAGATGAAATAAAGTTTACTTGGTCAGAATCCGAAAAGCTGATGGGTTGCAAGCAGACAATGTTGTAAAGTATCCTAATGATTATTATGACACCCAGGGTGGATGTTCAATATTTACTGATAGCTCATCCCAACGAACTAATTCTATCGTTACTTTTACTAGCGACGGCTGTTAACAAATACTTATAATTATTACCTATAAGAGTTCCCACAACCAACAATAACAACATTCTAGAACTATCACATTTAAGCTTCTACACTTTGCTTCCCGTTTTACTTATTATTAACACAACGTACGATATATGTTTTTAGAAGTTTGCTAACACTAAAACTCGTTTAGGATCTATCTATCCGCAAATATTTTCGCGATATATTACCACTCAGTCACTGGACCACCGTAAGCGTCGCGATGCAGAGCTTGCGCCTTAAACATTCGCAACGGGCGGCGTCTATTTTGGAAAATCTGCATATGCAGTACAACAACTGTCGGAACAATCAATGCTCTGAATAGTAACTTTAACTTGAGTAAAACATAATTATGTTAACCTAGTGTTACAATTAACTGGTTTAAAATTAGCAAATAATCCTTCTTACGCTCGTGAAACAAATAGTCCTGTAAGCATGCATATACTTATACTTCAATAAAGATTCCGGAATTAATTTATTTGGACGAGTAAAATGTTTAATTTTAGTAAATGCAATGCAATCATTTTCGTATTTTATTAATTCAGAGAATTTTAAATATATATATATATATATATATTTTTAATAATAAAAATATGTGTCTAAGGTTATTTAGACTACAGTATTACCATTGTTTAAGTATATTATATACTTAAACAATGGTATTACATACCCACCCATTTTTCTCTAAAAATTAAAGAAATTGCTTTAGCGAATTTTATTTTTACTTCCCGAGCATAAACTAAGAAAGTATTGAAATAAGATACATTTAGCCAACAGATTACGGCATCTCAAAATTTTGCCGAATAAATTCTTTCGCAAATGTGCAAAATATGAACATGAATGATAATGCAAAATATGAATGCAATGAAATATCATTGCATTCATATTTTTTAGATTTGCTTAAAAAGGTGAAAAAAAAATTAATGAATCAGTCAATTTATTATTGATCAAATAAAAAACAAACCACCCCATTTTCTGGAAAATGTGAGAATACGCTCGTGTTTATAACAATAAAATAATGATAAGGTAAGAATTATAATAATAACATTCAGAATATTTTGTTCAATAGAGGCTTATGAATAATATTAGTCATCTGTTTTGGGGCGATAAACTCATTCAAATCAAACAAATGTCTACGTGACATTCTTCCGATGTAATGTATTCCCGTTGATAATGTGCTGTAAATAAATTGTTTGCACTCATAACCTTTTTTGATGACCTTGGCGCATTCAACAGCATGCGGGACATCGAACATCACGCACAGATGAGTTTTGCTAGGACGTCGTTGTTTATAAATAAAACTGGGCGGTCGAAATGTATTCATCCTATCTACCCGTCTGAAGTGCGGTCTTACCTAGGCTTGCCAACCTTGGAGCACAGATTTGCGGGAAATTCTCAACAAATATGCGGGACGGAGCTCAAAAACAGCGGGACCTGGCAGCTCAGGTGAAGGAAAGCGAGAAATTGTTAGGAACTGTGCAACAGTGGAAGTGGAAAGCTTTCGATAGAGTTAACAAAATAAAACACACGAACTAACTAATTTGGCCAAGCAGTCTTCCATTGATCTCCTAATTTTATTACAAACGATAACTAAAGTAACAATTAGAGTTAGAACTAGGTAAACTAATTAGTAACATATTATGACTTCTTTTTAAATGAATATTTTTCTTGTGATTTGGCACATTTCAATATTTTTTTATTCTTTAGCACAAAATCGTAAAAGTCTTTACATGAGTATAAAACGGGACCATTCGCGTCCCGCACACACCTTTCGCGGGACGCAGACTTCAAATCCCTAGAACCGGGACGTCCCGGCTCTCGCGGGACGGTTGGCAACCCTAGTCTTACCTTACTCGCTTCTCGCTTCTCTTCCAATTGTGCATCATTTTTAATAATTTACAGAAATAGTATTATTTTCAGCGAGACCGACACTTGGAAATTATTAAAAATAATAATATTATTATTATGTCGTGGATATGGATTTTAAAATCATCAACTGACGTTCCGTTAACGTTAGTTTTCCCATAATTTTCTTCGCGATGCGTAAGATCGGTTGCGAGCCACTGGTCTGCCAAGGTCCAGACGCAGCGCATAAATTTCAACCGCCTAGCCCTATTTTTTTAGTATTACACTACATCTATTCAAACTGCTATACGTGTCCTTGCAAAAATGTTGATGACGTCATCGCATTTTTTTTTAAATTGCCCCGTTACAAAAATGTAATGAGAAAAAAACATAATATGCATGCAGTCGGCATGTTTCCGACAGCGAGGGAAGTACTGTCTGATCTCTGTAGACTAGTGATGTGAGTGTATAATACAGGCTGTATAATACCACGGTTTAAAACTGTATTATACGGTATGTATAAAATGTTTTTATACCACTGGTATAAAATTAAATTTTTAGGTTATGTCAATCGTAATTTTTTTAACTTATTAAGTTACATTAAAAGCAATTTATCATTGCAAAATAATATTTATGATTATGAGGATGACAATGAGAATATCCTCAAATTGCAAGATGATGTAGATAATTATGTCGACATTGCCGAAGATAACATCGGCGTTGACGTTGATGAATCTGAAACAAATGAAGACTCAGATATGGAGGTAGAAGAAGCTTTCATACTGCACGTAGTTGATGAAGATCAATAAAACAATAGCCTCTACTTTTGTTATTTTTTTTTTTTTAATTGAGGAGAATAATGTTTTATTTTCATATTTACATAGTTTGTTTGTTTTTTTTTTATAATAAATTCTTCGTGAAGTGTTTTTCTTTTTTTACGTTTACCATAAAGCTAAAAATGAAAAATGTTGGCGCCAAAATTTGAATATAATACCATATAAAATACCGTATAAAACGGTATTATACCATGGTTTTATACCGCAAAAATAAAATACGGTATTTTTACATCACTACTGTAGACCAATTTTTTACTGGTATTTTCGCTTATTTCGTTTATTTGTTTATTATAATCAGATGCTACTTTTCTTGGTGGTGGAAAATTTTTAACAAAGTTTTTAAGTTTTGAAATACATTTCTTGTATTTCATGATAAACTATGTCTTCTACCTTTTGCAAAAAAGCAAATGTAGAATACAAATTTATTAAGAAAAGATAACTCTTGGACAGTCCAAAAATAGAAAATTAATGTTGGAGGTCAGAGTGTAGAGAGTTAGGCAGTGTTAAATACCAATTTTTACCTGATATTTTGAGAATATTTCAATTACTTTGACTATTTTCTAGGATTTTTTTTTTTGTTTTCTAATAGTAAAAAATTTTTAATACAAGAACATTTACCATTAAGAAATAACAAAGAAAATACCTTAAACCTTCTATGATTTAGGTAGAGTTCCCTCAAACATTTAAGGCGTTTATGGCTTCACACCAATTTGACTCCCATTATAATTCAATAGGCTGTCACAGCCGGATGTCTTAAACCCGCTCACCGATACCTACCTGAAAAGACCTTTTCTGGTAAAAGCACAGGGCAGGACTGAGTTTTGCATTTACCGACAACTGCGCCTTTCGTTTTTTTTATTTTAGGTAAAAACAAAGTAACTTTGTACTCAATCATTTTTTATTACAGCAAATTAGTTAGAATTTTGACATATACAGCTATTTACTTATTAACTACTACTGCTTATTTATTGATCGAAATAGTCACTGTCATCATCACTCGACTCTTCTAAATTAATAATTAACGGTTTTATCAACGGTGCCCTGTACTGGTCTTTTCCTGAATTTATTCTTCAAGAAGGCACTGTGTTTTGTAGCTTCTGCTACAAACCGCATTTCTATTTACAAATATATGTTTTCGGATCACCGGCAAAATTTTTTGCTACAATATTTCGAAAAATATTTAAAAATGAATTGTTACAAAAATACTAACTGTATTGCCTATTGTTATTATTTTTTATTGATTAGTCACTATTTAGTGTAAGACAATAATTTTTAAAAATTTTATTTATCTATGTATTTTTTATTAAAAAAATTAAGCTCGATAAACCTGTTTTTATAATTTGTAAATAAATTTAGTTGTGTTATTACATTTCTTTGCAATTTTTGGAGCATATGCAACTGCATATCTCTGCATATATTAATAAAGTAACTGCATATTTGTATAAATTTCATGCATATTACATGATCATATTTCTCAAAATTTTGCTGCATACTTTTCGCTCTCTAGTCATGTATTATTTTTAATACAACAGCAATATGAATGTACCCTCCGGATTTCAAAAAAATTGGACGGTGACATCGTCAAAATTATTTGATTTATCAAAAAACTTTTTGTGGACCAGTTTTCTATTATTGCGATTGAACTTATTAAAGATTTTATGTTTTTCGCTTTCAGTATCTTAATAATATTTTCAAATTTGCACAATAAGATTAAATAACTAAAGTACGGAAGAAACGTTAAAAACAATATTACTCTTAGTCCGGTCCTTCGCGTCTCGGCCGTCCCTGGCACGTGGCATGGTTTACATTTACAAAGTTTTATGAAAGGTCGGCTGTAAAGTACTTTAAACGTCAAAGCCATAAACGCCTTAAATGTTTGAGGGAACTCTGCTTTCATGTTTTCTCGATGTATCATTAACGCTCTAGTGAATGAAAAAATAAATCACCGTGTGCGTCTCTCGCTCTGTCTGTCTGTTTCGATTTTTAGAATTAGAAACTTTAAAATGTATGGTAGGAATATAGCGAAGATGGTAAAATGATGACCAAAATTTGTCTAACCATCCCCACAAAAAATGTGGTGTCATCTCAAAATTGTAGATAGTAAATATTTCTTTTGTACTGTTCTTTTGTACTGTTATACCTGAAAATGACAAATAGCATCTGACATGAGTGAAGCGTAGCTAATTTTACTTCCGGAGCGCAAGCGAAGGAAGTATTGTAATCGACTCCGTAAATGTAAATGATAAAACCCTAACAAAATTTGTCTAAACATTCCCACAAATAATGTGATGACGTCACTTCAAAATTGTACATAGTAAATGGGTTTTAAATTGTAGAAAATAACATAGTCCTACACATGTAGTTTTATGACTACATGTTGAGTTTTTGCTCAAAACGTCCAGATTTTTGAAAAAAAAAAACAAAATTATAAAACAACTGCGATTTAATTTTGAATCTGCAAAACCGAAATCTTGCAGATGGTTTACACTATAGCCCCTAGAAAACACATAGTATCGT